ATGTTTATAAACCAATTATAATTAATTAAGTTGCTTAAACAACTATAAACAAAACAGCATCATGTTTGTATGCGTAGTTTAATACAAAGGACCGAAAGCCAATCACACAGAGTAGCCTACATTTTTCATTTAAAGGTGCCATAGAATGGAAAACTGTATTTACCTTGGCATCCGCCCATGTACATAAGATTTCACTTACCACATAAACAGAGTAAGGAGAGATGACTGAGGATGATGGCGAATGATTTACAGATCCTGAGCACCGCTGACAAGCATCTGATCTTGTAAAATGTGTTAAGTACTGCCGCTGTAGTTTACACAACACGTGCGATCGCAAATCTCGAAAGTGAAAGTGAAAAGCCATCGTGCAAAGCAGCTTCAGTGCCCCGCATATTAATAGCGGCTCCCTGATGGCCGTATTTTATATACAGTATAATTACCCAACGATATAACTGCGAGAGACCGTATTGAAATATATATTTTCCCTGTGTTTCCTTCCTGCTGTGTGAGCTACTGAAATGAGCCGCACTGTGAAGCAGCCAATCAGAGCAGAGCTCAACATTGAGCCGCACTGTGAAACAACCAATCAGAGCAGAGCTCAACATTATTATTCATGACCCTTCCAAATAAGGCAAAAACAGACCATTTCATTCTAGGGACAAATCCTAGGGTTGTAAATGGACATGTAAAACCGTTTCTGGAGATTTTTTGCCCTTAACTAAGCCACATACGTTCTTATGTAGATATCAGAGAACAATTTAAAATATTGTATCAATGCATTCTATGGCACCTTTAAAAACACGAGTTGCAGTGGGGTGGGAAAAACCCCCCGCCATAAAGTCTCGAGATATGTTTTTTCAAAGTTAAACTTGCATTAATTTTACATGGCTTTCTAAACATGCGGCTCTTTTGTGCGAGACGCGAATGCAACGGTGATAGATGTCCCTCTAGAAAATGCGCGAAATATGCGTTCTGTGTGAACGGCTTGGCTTTAGTTTTGACGTAAACAAGATCTTCTCCGCATTGATGTTCTCTTTTCCTGCAATATTTTTAATGAGCAATGCAGCAGCGCCGCATCTAGTGGCTTCAACTGGGTAGGCTAAAAAACATTATAATGCAACGACATTTACATCGTCATCGCGTCTCGTGCGCCACTGGTAAGGCTGTCTGACGCACACCTAAAATTCGAATGCAACGGTTTTGCATTAGAATGTGGATTTTTATTTTAAATTCGATGAATATTCGAAATTCAAAATGTTTTTTGACAGCCCTTTTTAGTAGTGATTGGTTAACTGAAGGACTGCGTTATGGTTCTGGCATCGACACAGCACACTATGGGTTTTATGGTCTTGTTTGGGTCCATGCTTGTCTAAAATCAAAAATCTAACTAATTTCTGACTCATTATTCTGTTGGTTTCTTTAGTATAGTTGCTAAACACCATTTAAATCTTAAAGAGCCAGTATATGACAGTATATGAAACAAACCTGAAATTGTGCTCACCCTCAGGCCATCAAAGATTAGGATGAGTTTGTTTCTTCATCAGGTTTGTAGAAATGTAGCATTGCATCAGTGTCTCAGCAATGGATGCTCTGCAGTGAATGGGTGCCGTCAGAATGAGAGTCTAAACAGCTGATAAAAACATCACAATAATCCACAAGTAATCCACAGCACTCCAGTCCATCAGTTAACATCTGGAGAAGACAGAAGAAAGAAAGAAACTAATCTCTGATGGCCTGAGGGTGAGCACAATTTCAGCAAATGTTCATTGTTGGGTTAACCACTCGTTTGCATGTTTATGATCTTCATCGAGCATATTTACCTTTGAACTAACTTGTGATCAAATACCAAAACACAAAGTTAAAGTGACAAAGATACAAGACGGCTCATTTGTTTTGCTTCCTAAAATACTATCTGTCACTTTGGAGTGACAACAAAATGTTGGCGCATGATGAATGATTTGTGAATAAATGAATCTCGAGTCTTTCTCAACAACTTTAACGCTGGGCAGAGGTAAAAACTGGAGTGTTATAATGTAAATTATGAGCTGATGCATTGTGATACAGTTGTCACACTTGCCATATGCCAGTCTAGAGAGACGTGTGTGTGTGTGTGTGTGTGTGTGTGTGTGATTAATGCTTCTGTGTGACATGTTTATTCACACTCCTAACACTGTAAACGCAGTCTATTAGCCTCATGCTACTCTTCTTTACAGTAGTAATCATGTGCTTCACTCCGGTGCTTCTTGTCTCATTGTATTTGTTAGTACAGGCTGCACTACAATATGCACTTCCAAAAGACTAGTCACAGCTGAGGATGAGTTATTGAACACATGGGCATGTTGTGTTTTACTTTTTGAAATGTTACTGTCCGGGTTCAAAATGAAGTTTTTGCCACACTGCCATTAGTGGGAGAATTAAGTATTTCTTACCAGCCATACAACTGTATTTTGCATGTTCTTTATTCATGCATTTATCTT